CACACACACACACACACACACACACACAATTTTTAAATTATTCTTTTAGAGTATCATGCCCATTCTTAACTAAGTGGTAAATAAGGAACCGTTCTCCTTTTTTGGGGGAGTACAGTTCTTTCAGCTTTTCAGATCATTAGATGCAAGAAGTTTTTGAATCTAAACTGTTTTCTTTTATTTTTCTTATTAGTGGTTCAGCAATGAATGTAGTACACACAGAGAAAGAAATGAAGAAGTTCTTGGCAGAGGCAACCAGAGTTTCACAGGTATTACACCAAGTTTTTCTTCTGTTCCCACTGCTAAAAGTAAACTGTTACATTTTCAGTTAAACTGTCCTCATTTTTTTCTTCTACATTTAAATGCTGATTGTTTCAGGATGTGATGTAATTTGAACACAATGAACGTAATTATCCATTTCTAATTGAACCGTATTGTTCTCTCCTATCTATATTTATAAAGAGTACTGTACTGCCCTTATATCTAGCTAACTCACAGGAAACAGACCTGATTTCTAAATTTTTGTTTATATTCTTACTAGCACATTGGTGGTAGATTCTGGTGGCATCATCATATCTCAGTCCAGAGTCATATTCCTGTTCCATATCTGTGCCTCAGAGAAAACTTTAGGAATTCAGCAATAACTTAGCTTCCGTTTCGTTTATACAGCATTCAACAATGCTGTGTTTCTGCTGAGTTGCCTCTGTTAATTGTCACTGACATTGATGTTTTATGTATGATAAAGATGTAGAATCGGTAGGTAATCCCTTAACGTGATTAAGATGTCTAAGGATGCTTACCAGCGTAACCAATCTCTAATTACCTGGACAGACTGCTTTTGATCTGAGCAGAGAAAGGCAAATCGGGCGGGATTATATAACAGTGTATACTACACCCTTTGGGAAATTCTCTTGTGGGGAATAGCTGGAGAGAATTGAGAAATGCAAATACCATCTCCCACTCCCCTCCATCCTGTTCAGGATCTACAGCTAATCGTTTACACAATGGAACAAATGGGACCCAGCTGTAGGACAGGGAGGCCATGTTTTTATTTAGAAAAAGAAGAGAACTGCAGTGCAAAAGTATTTTGCCTCAGGGTTGGCAAAAAAGTTCTAATTCAACTGAACAGACCAACCTAGATTTCATCCAGGCAGCCGATTTTATGGTTCACCGACAAATGCGCACACGACAAAAGCGCACCGACAAAACCACGGCGAGAAAACCGCGACGTCGAAATCGCGCCCACAACAGGGTGCCGACAAAAGCGCGCTGACAGAAGCGCGCCATCAACAAACAACGCGAAAACAACGTAATAACCCTAACCCTAAACCTAACCCTAAACCTAACCCTTACCTTAACCCTAATCGCGCTTCTGTCGGCGCGCTTTTGTCGGCGCGCTCTTGTGGGAGCGATTTCGACATCACGTTTTTTGCCGGTGCGCTTTTGTCGTGCGTGCATTTGTCGGGTCACGCGATTTTATAGGTTGGTGCTGGTTTGGAAAGTTACGGCTCTTTTAAATCTCTTTAGGGAAAGAACCGTGGAAAAGCTTGCTGAAGGCTAGACATGATTAGATGACTTGATACTTGTTGTCAGTAGGCATCAGGGGATAAAGAAGCCCCTTTTCTATTCAGATTTGGCAAAGCCATCAGTGGATATCCAGAGCAGAGGATGCACAGAGTTGGAAACATTCACTTCAGGGGTGGTAAACAGGCAATAGCAATAGCAATAGCAA